GTCGATGTCCTCTTTAACACCTTCTACATTTGCATAAGTTTTCCTATGGTGTTGCAGCGAACAAAAATATAGTAATCTGATGGTACCATATCTGGAGAATATGGTGAGTGGGGGAAAACTTCACAACCTAACTTCATAAACTTGTGTTGCATCAAACGTGCCACATGGACGTCCATTGTCGTGGAGAAGAAGAACAACAACAACACCTTTCTGATTGACGAGTGAAGGGTGTTTCTGATGAAGGGCTTGATTTAAACGTTCCAGTTGCTGACTATAGATCTCTGCATTGACAGTTCACTGTGGATTGAGTTCGAAATGAATTACTCCTTTGATGTCCCACCACTTTCTGCGGATGGAGTCCAGATTTTGGAGCGGAAGTGAATTTTGTCTAGGACAAAGCCATTGTTTTTTTGGCTTTAATATTCGCTTAGAGAATCCATTTTTCATCACCGGTGACAATTCTGTACAAAAATGGTTCACATGCATTACGCGCCAGAAGAAACGAAGCAACGATGATCATAGGAGAGTTCGTGAGGCACCCAAACACCTTCTTTACGGAGTTCTCATATTCCTTAAATGTTTACGTATTGTTTCATGAAAGAACAAAATATGCCGAACCATCGTTGACACTTACGAACGTTCAAAACATTTCCATAAACTTCTTTGATATTCTTGTGGCTACTAAGGCGTTGTTTCCCTTCTTGTATTTAAACAGCGTTACATACCGAATGTGTGCCTCGTCGCGTACCATCACTCTAAGCAATTAAAGTATACTAAACTTTACACATTATATAGGCTACACTTACGTGACATTTATGCGGTTTGTACGTGATGTACGTTTTTAGGAGGTGGTTAATGAAATTGTTCCAAAATGCGACATTAATTTCTTGATGACCTAATAATTAGAATAAAGGTTTAAAGATCGCAACTAACTCAATAACGTAAGATAATCCAATCATTATTATTTTGTCTTTAGAAAATACATTACAGCTCGAATTTTATATAAAACAAATGTTTCGAAATTAACATATGATTTGTTTATAAATTCATAAGTTTATACGAATGGCTTACATGGGAAGGGATAATTGAGTTTTTGTGACTTACATCGCAAAAAAAAAAATCCAACACTTAAGAGGTTTGTTTGATATTAATGGGTATCGAAATAGATTTTTAGTGTTACAAGCCTTTAGACTTTAGCCGCTTTGTGGCTACTTAAAAAAAGACTCATTATTTTTTACAACTGTTTTATAATACTTTAAAACTTGGCTCGCAGGTGTATAAAGGGCTATGTATCCAGTCTTAATCCTAACGCATCCTGTGCAATTGCTTCAAACTGGAAATAGACTTTTATAGTTGGGAAAACACAACTGTTATAAAGAGGTTTCCTTCATTTCTGTTGATTCTTGGGAAGACGTCTTTAAAGACTATATGAAAAAACCTACAGAATATTTGTTCAATAATAATAACAACAAAAGGTTGCAATGGATTTGATTGAGGAACAACTTTTCTCCCCAGAACAAATTAAAAAAAAAAATCCGGTTATTTAGTTCCCATGCTATAACGGCGGTAACACATTATCCAGGAAATTTTTGAGATTGCCATGTTCTAGTTGCTTTTGTTCTTCTTAGTGGATAATGTCTATTCCGCCTAAGACGATATTGCGGTAACATACAAAATCCAGGATGAAAATATTAGTACTCTAACATCTCTGCTGGCACTCTTTCTTAGTTCAGTTCCACTTGGTTTCATCGTGAATACTTCGGTAATGATTCCTTTCGAAGCTGACGAGCTATTTACTAATTGATCCAGTAGGGGCAATCGATCGTTCTCTTGTCTATAAGTTGTTTCTTGTTGTTGTGTCTAACTGAAGATTATTTTTTCTCTCCTTCAAATCTGTCCAGTCTGTTTATTTCTTACGCAACTTAAAACTCAGTCAAGTTATCAACGACAAAATATTCCCCTAATTTCTTGATCGAATATGATTTTAATTGCAGTGGAACCAAATATATATATTAAAACAGAGCAGGAGAAAGACCAAGATTTGAAGCCAATAATTGATTTTCTACAAGCAAATGTTTTGCGCCCTGCTTGGGAGAAGGTGTCTAGCTTAAGCCCTGTGACAAAGAACTATTGGGCACAATGGGACCAATTGAAGCTTGAAGATGATATTCTTGTCCGGAGATGGGAAACTCTAGATGGGAAGGTGACGACCTGCCAAACAGTT